ATAATGGCATGAATAAAAAACATCTATTTAATTATATCCAATTATTAGGTAAGGTGAAATTTAAGTTCTACTTGTAAAGTTACAAATTTTTGCTTCTAAATTGTAGAATCTACTTATGAAGTAGCAACATTTGCTTCTAAACTTGTAGATTTATTTCTTCCTTAGCCAAACCTCTTCTTTTAATTCAACCACATTTTCAATGAGAGAAATAAACATGATATCATATGTCCAAGAAGTAGTAATATGCTAAATCAATTTCTATAATATACTTCTTCAACTGGAATATTTTTATTATTTTACCTTCCAACTATATGAGGTAGTTTCTAATTAATTGGAATTGATCCATTTAATTGGAAACATTTGTTATTCATAGCAACTTTTAGCATATAAGTAATTTTAGGTTTTAGAAGTAGCAACTTACTTGCATTTCTTAGGCTATAACTTCTTAATGCAATCCTCATATATTCTTAAACCTTTCCCATTTGAGCAACTTAGAACATTTCTTTTAGGTTCAAAATAATACTTTGCTTAACTTCTTTAAACATTTTCATGATTTTGTTAAGTCTATTCAATTATTATTTATATTAGAGTTTAATCAACTATTTAACTTCATATGATGAAATGGATGAAGAATAATGTCATTTGATCAACTTTTGGTCATATAGACTTCCAATCACTTTCTTATATTCAATCACATTGAAAATAAGAGATTTTATTGGAATTCCATATTTGTCTTTTAGAGGGTTCGTACCACCCATCTCATTATATCCCTTGAAACGCTTTTCAAAATGAAGATGGTGTTGGCATTTTACTCAAACGTTTTGAGTCGAAGAAAACCAACTTGGACATGTGACATGGGTTTCTAAAGCTTGCCTTTTAGAACCATCTTAGTAATATTGGAATATAGGTTTACATATCATCTTTTACACTTTTGAGAACGTTTCTCAACTTTATTTTCAATCGAGGAGATTATATAATCATAAAACTAGAATATATATTACTTACTTAATAAACACAAATTTCAACTATGTTTATCTATAAAGCACCTAAATTAAAATCATAGGTAACTTTAACACTTTATTCAATATTTATTTGTCCCAACTGAATTAAATGATTCCAAGATCCTTTATTCATGTAATAGTTGACCGGACTGAGGCCCTACCATCAAGCATTACATTTTCAAGGTAAGTAAACTCTTTACTAATTGTAACTCTTGGTTGAATAATTAACCATCTCATGTTTAATTATTACCCTTTACTTCAAGGTTTTTAAATGCTTTAGGTAAGCTTGTTGAGCACAACCAATTAAAAGTGTAGAACGTGATCTACCCCAAATTCCCTTAGATAACAAGTGATACCCTGCGGAGGCAGACCCATCACTCATGATCGAAGGGTTTTTAGGTATCTAATTGGAAAAGCAATCTCAATATTACCGAGACCTAGATTTATTATGTTGTGATTATTTAGTGAACTCTAGCGCATCATCATCAACATCAATAAAAACTAGCATGCATAATCTACTGAATGCATAAACAAGACATAGTATGACCCATAATCCTTAGAAAACTAATAAAGTAAATGCTCCCACTTGAATCTTCATGGATCACCATCCTTGATTCACCTTGGGCCTTCACTTCATGGACTTTTAGGATTAACTGCAACCTGTAATTCTAATCTAATCTTTTTACTACTTAAATAAAATAGATAAATTACAAAAATACTTAATCGGTACGCAGACCGTACTTAGATAACAAAAATACATCACGATGGGTAGATTCTATTTAGTAATCTAATGGACCATACTAGTCATTATATAGCAACATAATATCATTATAAAACTGCCACATAATAAGTATCACGTAAATATGCTTGCCTAAAGTACAACATCGAATGTTCATAATTAAGGAAACATGGTACCTAAATATCTCATATTTTAAAACTGTAAGTAGATAATATCATATATTATTCATGACCAATTATAAAATATCATATATTTTAATTTAGGTATGAGATAGAATCAAATCTTATTTTAATCTTGGAAAGATTAATCATATTTATTCTCCATGATTATCCTAACTAATTTAGGAGATTATATCCTAAATACTTAGCCAATCACATAATTTTAAATCAATTATATCCTAAAATAATTATGGGATAATCTAATTAGTAAATCAATATCCATATCTAATCTTTTTCTCAAAATATCCTAACAAACTTATCAAAATTAACAACTTTAATTTTGACAATTATCTTTAAAAAAAAAATAAATAAATAAAAATCTGATTTTTAAATTTTGAATTTTAAATAAAATAATTTTTTTTATTTAATTGAAAAATCGCGCCAGCTACCGTGGTGTGGCCGACCGAATCTAGCCACGGTGGTCGTACACCATCAGGTGTACGCTGCACAGCAGCAGCAGTGCCGCGCAACCGTTGCACAGTGTTGCTGCTACTCCCGCTGCTTCCCGGGCCTGCTGCCCCGCTTTACCCTCCCTCTTGGGCCACCACCGGCGGCAGCCACCGTGGCCGCACCACCCAGCTGCCGTTGCCACCAAAAACAGCCCCAATAACTTTTTTTTTTTGAGATTTAACTTAATTAAAAAAACACTTGTTAAAATTAAATTAAATTGGTCCAAGTAATTTAAAATTAAATCACATTCAATCTTAATATTAGGGTTCTTCATGAAAATAATTCCCAATTAAATTTAAGACTTAAAATTAAATCATTGATCATGCAAATTCATAATCTATACATGAAATCAAATAAATTAAATTCATGAAACATAAAACAATCGAAATTATTTAAAAACAAAAATACAAAATCAAAATTTAGGGTTTAGGGTTTCGAAATTTTCGAACTAGGATTTGGGGGGTCAAATTTTCGAACCGAATTAGGGCAAAATTGGTCCAATATTTTAGGGAAAAATTGAGCAAATTAAACACCTTTAATGATTCCATATGTTAAATCATCATTTAACATAATAATTGACCCATAATTAAATTATTCTCCCTCTTAATTGAATAAAAATTTGTAGACATCAAAGAATTATGATCAATATGTGTACATGCATAAGGCTAACTGATACCACTGTAGGGTTTTAGGTACTAAAAGTGGAATTGCATGAATCATATTCATAAGTACCTAAACAGGATCTTTGCACAACACATAAAGAACACATATTTATACCTTTGAAACGTGATTCCATGAGTGATCGAGCAAGAACAATTAGGATAACAAGAACCCCAAATGTGATTCCTCTACTTGGTCCACGGGCAAGGATTGAACCTCCACTAATGCTAGTAAGTCGATCACGAACACTTCGAGCTACCTTCTACGAAGAGGGGAGGAGAAAACCGAGCCACGAACAACCACGACCACCACTGTGCACCACCGTGCACCACCGGCGTATGCGAACATGAGGGGAGAGAAGAGAGTGAGTGCTTGAGGCTTTAGGGTTTGGTTGCTAACTTGTCAATTCTCATTTGACTGCCAATTGTGTTGTATAGCAAACCCTAGGCAAGGCCTCTATTTATACATCACATGTATAATTAGAGTTCAAACCAAGCCCAAATTACTCCCTCTTTAATCCCATATGGTCGACCACTTCACGAGGCCCATTATTGGGCTTCTTTCTTTTGTTTAATCCATCACCCTTGTGGTATCTGACTAGCCTAAAGTTCATTTATCATATCTAGCAATAGACAATGACGACCCAAAAGAATGAACTAATTATTTCCATAATAATGATCCATGATATATCTAGTAATTGCACTTGACGAAAACATAAATCCTTCATGTCGGGCCTCGTATTTCCCACGAGCAAAACCTATTTGCTAATCGTTTCGGTACCCCTTTTGTTAATGGAGATTGAAACCTTGCTGTAAACATCTTAGAGAGCAATAGTTGAGGGATATGAAATTACCTCCAAACTTGTTTCATTAATAAAGCCTTATTAAAATACCAAGACTTTGCACTCCCAGTCCCCCCCCCCCATTCCTTTTGGAAGATTTTCTTAGTCTCTAGCCACCCAGTGCATACGTTTGTTCTCCCTGTTTGCCCATATAGGAAAAAGGCGAGTAAAGAATCCACTTTATTCGAATTGTACGATGGAATCTCAAAACAATTTAGGTTATGAGAAGCAATAGCAATAAGGACAGAGTTGATAAGAACTATCTTCTGTGGTTGAGAAAGGCATACCGCATTTCACGCTGATATCCTTTCACAATGCTGACCACTATAAACTGAAAACAAGCCTCTTTCCTACCCATCAAATCAACAAAGGCACCCAAGTACATGTAACCCTAGTTGAGAAACCTTACTCATTCCTAAGATAGATTTAAAGGAATTCTGCACGGAGAAAGGAGTATTAGAGCTAATTTTGAAATGGACTTACCCAAGTTAAACTATTCACTTGAAACCCAGCAAAATCGACATAGAATATTTGTCACATTCCTACAACTCTAAGTTGTAGCTTTGAAAAACAAAAGGGCATTGTCAGAAAAAAAAAATGCAAAATTGAAGGACCTTTCAACCCAAGCTTAATTCCATCGAAGAGTCGCATATCACATCCTTGTTGTAGCATACAAGACATAAAATCCATGCAAAATAAAAAGAGACAAAGAGATAATGAGTCTCCTTCGCGTAATCCACATGAAGGTTTGAATTGATCGCTCATATCGCCGTTCAGTTGTAGTTTATTTGTCACTGTCAACATGCATTGTCCTATCATTTGAACCCACGTAGGAGGAAAGTCGTAGCACTTTAGCACTCGTCGCAAAAAATCTCACTCCACTCTATCATACGCTTTCACTACAACAAATTGATCTTTGTGCCAAGGGTAAAATCGTGGCACAAGTTTAAAATTCCTTGTGCTATGTAATTTAGCCACGAGAATTTCGAAATTTACTCATGTGGCATAAGAGGCCATGGCTAGGAATTTGCCACGGAAAAATGAATGTCGTGGTAAATTTTAATTTTTATGCCACGTGTATACACGTGGCAAACAAATTCACTTGCCCCGAATATTAACGTGGCTATCAAATTACTTGCCACAAGTTCTACCATGGCTAATAAACTCTTTCGCCATAAATATTACCGTGGCTAATAACACTAGAAAAAAGCAATTGGCACTGGTTCAAAATGGCTTAAAAGCAACAATTTTTCATTTTTCAGCCAAAATGATCAATAGACATAGTACATATATACACATAAAACTTAGATATTTTCATTTATAGTTAGTAGATTTACACTTTTCATCCAAAAAAATGAAAAAAAAAAACAAAAAAAAAACTAAATAGAGCTCATTACAATTCGAGCAGTAGCAATGTTCCAGAAGAGAGAAACAACAGCGCTCCACTACAGCAGCAGAGATAAAACCTGGAGCACTAAAACACTTGGCTTTCTCCAGCTAGAGCCACTTCTCTTCTATTATGAATGCAAACTTCAAATATTTTGGCATAAAGTGATAGAGCAAGAGGAGCATGAAAGATTCCAGCACATCCACAAGAAATTCCTTCTTCCACCTCTCATGAAGAGCACTGTCAGTCCCAAGAAAATATTCTTTACTCCCACAAGTTACCGCTGAAATAAGTGCCTTCCCCTGCATGTACAACCAAATGGTACAATCAGAGAACGCAGAGCAGAAAAAATGATAGATATTCATGTCAAAGACACAACAGAGCAAATGTCACATCGTTTCTTTGCTTGATTAGTCATAGCAATACACACCCTTATCATAAATCTCACGGTAAAAAAAGAAGAATTTTTTTTATTTTGATTCAATGCTGATTTGTAAGCACATAGTATGGACTTCCCTTTTGAGAATTGGAAGATACTTACCTTTTGAGCATTGAAGATAGTAGTTTTGTGCAGTGGCTGCAAGCCTCCTTGGAAAAGAGAGTTCCAATCCAATACAAGGTGTTCGGAGTCACAGTGGCTGTGTTAATGTAAAATAAAGAAGCAAGATTAATTGTTGATTTCAGCGCTGAAAGAAAGTCGGAAAATTTGTTGAATAAGTGAAAAGGATAAACTTACCTCCATCGCCTAATTCAACAAACTTGACAGCATCGCCGTAGTGATATGTTTCGTCACAACTTTTAGCTGAGAAAGTCTCTGTAATAAAGGTCTTACAACTGACTCATTGAATAACATTTCCCGATAAAATATATTCGCGTCGGGATCTGTAACCTCCCATGAACCTGTTAATAAACACAAATTTTCAGTCTTAAATAATACTTTCTTCGCATCCAGTTGCCTGAAGAAAGAGACAAAGAGATACTAAACAGTCACCTACTGTAATAACATCATGAGATTATTTCTCATACAGTACAAGTAGCTCCAGGAAGGTTGAACTAAAGCACACCAAAAGCATTTTCATGTTTCATGACTGTCAAGAATTGAAAAGGTACAAACTCATAACTTCGTCTTAAATTATCCATTTCATACAATGAGAAGCAAGTTTATTAATACAATGTCTTTGATCACACCCTGGAGAAAGAGAGAGAGGCAAGACCTTTTGCTTGAAATGGGGGAGATCGGGTTGATTTGCTTTGGAGTTTAGTAACTCAGTTTCTCAACTTATGATTAACTCTGTTTTTCCCTTATATTAGTGTCTTGCCTATTGTCTCTAACTCATGTTTCATTCCAGGAAGTAAAAGAAAACTTTGAAATACGAGTAGATATACAAGAAAAGACAACACTAACTGTCGCGCTGCATTTATTCATGATATAAAACTTACCAAGAGAGGCATATTTTGCACAGAAGCCATCTCTTGCAGCACAAGCAAACACTTTCCAAAATGATCAGTGACACCATCCTTTGAGTTAGTTATTGCATCAGCAGAGTCCAATTTGACAGCATAAACCACCCCACTATCCTGTGAAAATAATTACATTACCAATCAAACAAACTTAAATTTGATAATTAGACACCTCATTACCCAACTGATGACTTTGGGAATGCTAATATACTAGTGACACAAACAATGTCCCAATTAATGCAAACGAGTTAAACAGCTATGCTAAAGGGCAGAAGGGGCACTCACCCTGAACCCAGACCTTTGGTTCAACCAAATTGTACTCATAAGTTCACAACCAGGTGGCAAGTTAAACATTAGCAACCAAATTAGATTCAATCATCAAATTAGGCTTACAGTTTTTGGGGAAAAAGCTCCAATTAAATAGTTGCATCCACCAAAATTTTATAGCAACAAAATCAAGTTCCTTATCTTATTAGTACTCATAAATTCACATCCCCTCCCAATTAACTTGTTCCTTGTCAAACAACTTTATTTATATGAGTCGGTTTACTAAAAGCTCCAATCATCAATCTCGCGGCTTAGCTAATATTGCATTGGCAAGGATAGTGTTGACTGACAATATTCACCCTTCACCCACAATATATTTTGTTTCAGAACACATCATAATCAAAGTAAGGTCACAAACTCACAAAGTGTAAAATGTGAAGGCATCAATAATTTCTACTCTGACAAATGACTAGAATTTATATTCAATATGCAGAAATACATAGCAAACATCCATCAACCAAATTGTTGAAACTTACATAATTTGACAAAAAAAAAAAAAAAAAAAAAAAAAAAAAAAAAAAAAGTAAAAAAATTGATAAAAATAAAACGCGTAGATTTGTATAAATTAGTCCTGAAGATACGAATTGAGCAAGTACCTAAAAAAAACCAAACTAAAAGAAGAAGGAAAAAAAAAAGGGATTTTACCTTTAAAAAATAATTGCAAGTTCATTCACGAACAGTGGAAACAAATTGAAATCAAATAAGAAATTAAATTGAACTTAAATCAAACAAAAAACCCTAACCTCGAATTTCTAATTTATGGTTCTAAATTGATTCGAATTCGTTGTTTCTTTAATTATCGCATGAAAAATAATATAAGTGGCTCGAAATTAGATCTTGAACTTTTCGATTTTACTGAAAAAAATTACCGACAGGACCACCACCATCAGTCCATCACCATAGGAACGATATTACGGGAAAAAGGATGAATTTTAGAGGTGAACAATGTAGAACAAGAAAGATGGAGTCTTTGAGAACTTGGAAAATTTTATGAGAGACATGAAGCACAGGGTATTGGGGATTTGGGGTAAGAAATGAATTTTGACAGGAGAGAAGGTATAGGAAAATTAAACTAAACTAAATAAAAATCAAAGCGGTTTTTCCACTTTCTCAGTTAATTTTTTTTTTTCAACTTTTGCTATTTTAGTCCGCTAACCATTATATGCAACTTTCAATTTTCTTTCTATTTTTTGGTAAACAAAATCCTTTGAAATTATAAATTTACCCTTACTTAAAAATTCAAATTTTCTTAATTTTACCCTTATCTTATTTTAATCACAATAACCTTTTTAATCTAATCTAAACTTATTAATCTAATTCTACCCACCCCATTTAATCATCTCCTAGTCTACCCACCACCCATTCATCTCTTTCTTCAACCTCTCTTCATCTCCTTCACCCAGTTCATCTCTTTCACCTTCAGCCTCTTCATCCCTCCTCCCTCACGAGTCACGACCAGCCCCTCACACCACCATTCTCTCTCCTATTACTGTAACTTAGTCTCTACTCTACTACACTCCACTCTTCTTCTTCCTTTTTAAACTGTTCTTTCTCTCTCCAAAACAACCACCACCATGAAATCACTCGAAAGCCGCCATTAACTCACTCTCTTTCCTCTCAAATTTCTCTGTAAAACTAACCCATAAAAATGAGGTGTACAACTTCAAAGCTTGACAACGAAGACACCGTTCGCCACTGCAAAATGGGATCTACAATTTGATTTGTTTCGTTTTTCGTTTTTGTTTCGTGTTTTTATTGTTAATTTTCCGTTTTGTAAGCTTATTGTATGTTTTTGTATTGTATTTCTATTGTTAATTTTTCGTTTTATTATTAATTTTTATTGTTGATTATTGTAGATCTACAATTTTGTATTTTTTTCGATTTTTTTGGGTGATTTATCTTCGAATTTCTGGGTTTTTTTTGGATTTTGTTCGATTCTTTTGGGTTAGGCTTAGTGTGGTGAGTTGGTTACGATGGGGTGAGTGGGTGGGTGGAGCTGCCGGATTTTTGGGTGGTCTGGGTTAGAGGTGGGTCTAGGGCATGGGTTTTGGGTTTTATTGAAGGTGGTTGCGGTGGTGGTTTCGTGGGGTTGGTTACGGACTGGTTTCGTGGACTGCAAGTTCAGACTGGTTTCGTGGGGTTGGTTGCGGTGGTGGTTTCGTGGGGGTGGTAGTGGTGGTGGTGAAGCCGGCGGTGGTGTTGGTGGAGGCGGCGGTGGTGTTCGCTGGTCTTGGTGGTGGCAGTGGGTGGTTGATTTCTTTAAACATTCTCTTTCCACCTTAATTACATACTCCTATAATATATTAATCACCATTATACTTCCTTTAATATTTGACCCTTAAGTTTTGCCTCGTGAACCGCAATTTGCCCCAAAGTTGCAAATAAAAATTAACGGAGGGAGTATATAGTAACCCCGTTTTTTGCACTTTTCTACGTTGTGCCCTAACATATATGACTTTCTACGCTATAACTTAAAAGTACGAAGAGTCACTATATGGTGACCTCGTCGTTAAACTGCCGTTAGTTGCTTCCGTTAACTTTAATGAGAGTGCGTATAGGTAGTCTATTATTAGTTTTGGGGGGAATATTTCACAAGAATGTCATATCATATTATCATTCTGCAAAATCAATCAGAGAAACAAAAAGGAAAGCCATAGACCTGTCCAGAATATGGCGAGCCTTCTTCATTAGCCTTTCTACCAGGAGGAACCATAGGTAAAACCTGCCACCAAATTTCCAGCAATTAATTCAAAAAATCACCAAATTAAAAAAGCAATTTCATCTCAAAAAACTACAAATCATCAAAAATTAAAACCATCTGCCAAAAAGAGAGCAGCCAGCAGAATGAAGCCAATAGATGAACCAAAAAGCTTCGTCTCCGAGATCGCCAATGTCGTGAGGTCCAGGCAACGACGTTGGATGTAGTAGAATTCTAGCTCTTCGCCGGTCCGACGGAGACGACTCCGGCAAAAACTCATCGTAATTAACATGAAGATCCTCGCCGACCCCGGTGGTGGTGATGGCGGCGTTAGATACGGCAGTGACGGAGGTAAGGTGTGTGGAGGTGACGGCGGAGGAGAGAGAAAGTGAGGAGGTAAAAATGAGGATAGGTTTGGAAGGAATGAATGAAGATGGAAAAAAAAGAGAGAGAGTTGAGAGACGCCATTGTTATAGGTATCACCATTGTTAGGGAGAAATTGGAGGAGGAGAGAGAATTTGTATGGAAGTGTAATAACATTAAAAGTTAACGGAAGCAACTAACGGCAGTTTAACGGCAATGTCACCATATAGTGACTCTTCTTACTTTCAAGTTACAGCGTAGAAAGTCATATATGTTAGGGCACAACGTAGAAAAGTGAAAAAAAAAAAACGAGGTTACTATATAGAAAAACCCAATCAAAGCACTAGTTAATTGGAAATCAGTACCAAAGCTTTTGGGTACCAATTTAATCTGATATTTATTTTATTGGGTCTACCCGTCTTGTTTAGGTAGGGGTCAACATGAGTTGGATACTTGAACAGTCGAATTGTTAACACTATCGGTTCAGGGAACCGATAACACTAAAAATGATAACCATGAACAGAATTAATAAATTCGTCCAAATTTTCGAATAGTTTATCGGGTACCCAATATAATATCCAATAGGAAAAATTTAGACATTATACTTTAGTTATTGTGATATCATTCAACTCTAATCAACACCACCACATGATGTCAACCAAGTTGCTAATAATATTACTAATCACTCAAAATTATGAAGTAAAGTAGGAATTGTAATTTTGGATGAATAGATTTAAGTAGGGAAAAAAAAATTGCTTATCGGATCGGGTAACCATTAATTTTAAAATGATATCCAATAGCCGTACCCAATAATGAATTATCGGATCGGGTACCCTAATTTTTGGATCGGTTACAGATCGAGTTTTCGGTTTTTCGGATAATTTTTGCTCAGCTCTAAGTTTAGGCACCTGTTTTTTAAAAATCATTGTCTATCTCTTATTGTTTTTTTTTTTTTTTTTTGCTTTTTTCTACAAGTGTAATTCATACACTGGGTAGATTTAACTAAAAAAAATTATATTATATTAAAAACCATGTCATATGTGCTTCTCACGGGAACATGTGGTACTAGTGTAAAGTTTGCCACGGAAAACACTACTTGTGGCACAAATGTAAAGTTTGCCATGGGAAAAGAGCTACTCGTGGCACAAATGTAAAGTTTGCCACGGGAAAAGCACTACTCGTGGCACAAGTGTGGTATTTGCCACGATAAATACACTACTAGAAAAAAGACTTATGACAACAACAATAATCTGTTACCATATGTCCTATTAATGTTGCCATATGCCTATAGCAACGGATTATAAACCGTTACCAATAGGTGTCGTTGCTAAAACTCTTTGGCAACATCTTTCATGTATTAGGCAACATTTATTGTAAACTGTTGCTGTAAATAATTATGACAGCGCTTTTCTTAGGTAGCACTTTTTAACTTATGCTAACACTTATTCAACAACTTTTAGTAACATTTTTAAAGTTAAAGCAACAATTTTTGCTAATTTTAAGCAACACTTATTAGCTTGATACTAGTTGACGTTAAAAATTAAGGCAACACTTTATTTTGTTTATGGCAATGCTTCCAATTGAAACTAAGGGACACTTTTAAACCTGTTAGTGGCAACGCTTCTAATTGACATTAAAGCAATAGATTTAATAATGCATATATATAATAAGTGACTTGCTTAAATAGCATATGATCGATAAACTTTCGCTTAGAAATAAGTTCTCCATAAAAATTTATTCGTAGTTAATTCAAATTCATTCTAAATGATAAGCTAAATATTTATTACAAACAACAAAAGCATTCAATCCAAATATTTCATACATTAAACTAATAAAAATTCCAAAACCAAATTAAAAAATCAATCTAATATTTTTTCTCAAAGTCCAATAAATCTTTAGATGTTTGATGGAACACTTCATACTTGGATATATATATATAGTAAGACTCTTATATTCAATTAAAAAAATAATTCTCAAATGAATTATTTATGGAACATTATTATTAAAACACTAGAAATTACATAATGAAAATAAAAAAATATTTCATCAAAAAAAGGCAAGAAGCAGGTATCGTAGCAACATCACAAGAGTATAAGGAAGTAACATCAAAGGATCATAAATTTGTGTAATCATAGAGACTACATTGTCAAAGTAACTCCACTATTTTGAGTCTTTAATCGTGAATCACGTTCTCTAGTGTAAAACCTATAACCATTGATAAAATACCCAATGTACCTTCTGGCCTTAGGATTAGGACCTTTAGAAAACCAAAAGAAGTTCTCCATTAACCTGCTCCCTTTGTACTTTTCCAAAAAAACCAATCAATAAAATCTTTACTATGACTTTGTGCACTATCCCATCTACGCTTTCGACCTCGGCTATTCACCCAAATTTCATGTTCTCTGAATTATAAAAGAAAAAATATCATTATTTTTATTAGATTAAAATTATAAAAACTGAAAATATATTAAAAGAAAAAAACTCTTACTTGATGTATGTTTCAACTGTTGCATTGTTGCAATTGAAGACAATATATCTATGAGCTTGTTTCAGACTTTGGAAATCTAATGTAAATCCTTTTCATTTTCTCTTCCTTTTCCCTCCAATAGGATGTCCTACTTTAGGAAACAAAGATAATTCATCATCATGCTGATTCAAGGAAAAATTCCTAGCACATCTTCTATCTAGTCTAGTGTTTACACCTTCACGCAAATATCGAGAAATAAATGTCAAGCACTCTTCCATCATATACCCTTCTACTATACTTCCTTCGGGATTACTCCTATTTCGAACATAGGACTTCGGCTTACCTAAATACCTCTCAACAAAGTACATCCATCGATATTGCACAAGTCCACCAAATTTGATTTCCTCTACTAAATGAACAGGAGATGAATCATAACATCAAATAATGCAGGAGGGGATATCATTTCAAATTGACAAAGTATATTGTCAACTTCATATGCTAACCTATCTAATTCTTCAAGATTAACAATTTTACTACATATACCATGATAAAAGTTCCCCAATCTAGTCAAAGGTACTGCAACATTTTTTGGCAATGTCTTCCCGACGGCAACTTGAAGCAAGTGATGCATTATAACGTGTACATCATGAGTTTTGTAGCTAGAAAAATTTCTTTCTTTAACATGCACACACCTCTTTGATGCATACCCATAAGGTAACTTTGTTTCCTTAAGAACTTTGAGAAACAAATCCTTCTTTGCATTACTCATAGAATAAGGTGCTTGTGGAAATAGCATGTGGCTGCCATCTTCAGATGGATAAGGATAGAGGTGTGGTTTTATGCCAAGATCCAACAAATCCAAACGTGCCTTATTATGGCCTCTTGTCTTTCCTGGAATGTCTAACAAAGTGCCAACAATATTATCGAAGACATTTTTCTCGATATGCTTGACATCTAAATTATGACGATATTTAATATTAGACCAATAAGACAGTTGAAAAAAGCATGATTTCTTTTTCCATAGACCTTTACCACCTCCACCTTTACTTTTCTTCCTAAAATCATTTTCAAAGTTCTTTAATTCATTCATCAAATCAGTACCTGATAATTGAGAAGGTGCACACCTATCCTTTACTTCTCCATTATGAATTTGTATTTTTCCGCCAAGGATGATCCATATCAAGATGCCTTCGAATATCCATGTAACTGTTCTTTTTGCTGTGATGCAAGTATTTAGGTTTCACGTCATGGTTACAATTAGGACATGCATAATTTCCTTTAGTTGACCATCAGACAACATGGCGTAAGCTGGAAAATCATCAATCGTCCCCATAATGCAGCATGCAATTGAAATAATTGTTTTTTAAATGCATCATAAGTCTCAACCCCAAATTCCCATAATTCCTTCAATTCGTCAATTACTGGTTGTACAAAAACATCTATGTCATTTCCAAGAGACTTAGGGCGAGGAATTAACAAAGACAACATATAATATTCCGATTTCATAGAAAGCCAAGGTGGAAGGTTGTAATTTATCAACACAACAGGCCATGTGCTGTGAGCAACACTCATAGTTTGAAATGGATTGAATCCATCACTAGCAAGAGCTAAACGTACATTTCATGCTTCATTTTTAAAGGCGGGATATGATGAATCAAAGTCCTTCTTAAGATTGGGCATCTGCCGAATGTCTAATTTGGATGTCTAATTTTGTCATCTTTTATTCGGCCTTTATCATGCCAAACCATTAATTCGGCTGTTTTGGAACACATGAATAGTCTTTGCAATCTAGGTATCAAAGGAAAATGCCTTAAGACTTTGGCAGGAACATTGTTAGACTTCCACCTAGATGTACCACACTTAGGACAAACATCCGCTTCTTCAAATTCCTTCCTATAAAGAATACAATCATTGGGACAAGCATGGATTTTTTTTTTAATTAAGACCCGAATTCTTCACTATATTTCTAGAATCATTAAATGATTTAGGAAGTTCGGCCATTGGAAATGCCTCTCTTAATAACTTTAAAAGATCACCAAAGGCTACATTGCTTAAGCCATTAAGGCACTTAAAGAGAAACAAACGAATTATGAAAGACAATTTTGAGAAAGTTTTACAGCCCAGATAGAGCTCTTTCTTTCCTTCTTCCACCAAATGAAAAAATTTTCTAGCCTCCTCATGTGGCTCACTTTCAACCTCATGATCTCTATTTAGACCTTCACCCACATCTCTAAAAGTATCATGTAGTAAGCCATCGATATCATCCTGTGTACTTTGATTATTTACTTCATGCATAGTTTGCCTATCATTATTTGTAGAAGAATATCCCTCCCTTTGCAAGACCTACTCCTTGAATCCCTTCACAAACCTATTAACAATCAAATGATCATAAACGTCATCTCTAGAATGGCAAAAACGCCTCGAACACGTTTTACAAGGGCAAAATATTTGATCTCCAATGGAGTCCTTGGCAAAATAATCATCAAGAAAAAAAATTCAAAGCAACTTTAAAGTCCTCCGCACTTTTAGGATAGTTCATCCAATTTTGATTCATAACTTAATTTATGTCAATTCCTAAATTACACAAGCAACTAAATTTAGAGATCATCTATATTATGAAATGAAAGAATATATTTGATAGATATTAATTGGAAAAATATACAATACTAAAGCTGAAAATAGAAATCTGAAGCAAATACATATAAAGATCATCTATGATATCTAAACACGTACACATATTAGTTATAAACCAAAATCTAGTACATATAAGTTTATGAGTATTAAGATCAAAAGTTATATATCAAAAGAGAATAATTAGTTTTACTCACTTGAAAATGTTTGATGTGAAAGAGTGACAGATTGGTATTTTTGGAATGTATCACTTGGATATGTTTTTGGAAGATACATTACTATCAGAAACAACACCAAGAATTCAGTCATATATATATATATATATATATATATATATATATATATATATACACACACACACACACCCAAATATTTGTCAGTGCATTGCATTTGAATTTTGTCATCTGAAATAGCTAGGGTCATACACTAATCTAGTTTCAGATGCAGGTATATATGTGTATTAAAAAGAAGGGATAATCCATCTGTGATTTGACACGAACTAACCGGCACCTTTCCAAGTTCTATCCGGATGGAATGCATCGTTACCAATTCATTCCGTTTTAATCACTCATTGAAAATTCTGTCTCTTTTTTCCAAAAACTTAGCATCTACGTATTACTAGGGCCCTTGCATACGCCTAATGTATGAATAATGTTCAATGAATTGTTTGTGAGGAAGACACAATTTATAAGAATTGTCCAAAACAGAACCAAGAAAACAATTTATTCCATTCTGATTGAACTGGTTTCAGTTCCATTATTTACCTTCACTATTGCACTTAACTGAGATTTAATATAAGCAAGGTAGTTTTCAATTATGTTTCACACAAAATCCTTAATTTTCAACAAATTCACCTAAGTGGCTCTGCTATAATCATCCACAGTGGTTAAAAAATATGTTGAACCATCTATATTTGGAGTCTTATATTGCCCCCAGAGGTCTATGTGCACAAGATTAAATTCCCCAGCAATACTACTCTTACTGACAGCTAAAGGTAATTTGTGGTGTTTCGAAATAGAACATGTATCACAACAAAAATTCTTAACTAATTTGCAATTAAAAAAATCAAATTGTTTCATTTTAGAAAAAGATCCATGTCCAAGCCTAGGATGCATAACATCTAGGGAAACAATATTATTACAAGCCAAAACTTCAGAATTATTTACTTAACTTGCTGCTAAAATAGTATTAGAATAGAACTAGCTAGTCACATCAACAGAACTAGCTAATCGCATATACAAGAGTCAATCATCTAGCACAGTATATAGGGATCACGTAATCTGATGTACACAGCCTAACCCCCTGCTATTATATTAGGAATGTAACCCTTTTAGATCCTTGATCTGACAATCTGACATGTAATCACCATATTCTACTTTAAAAACAGATAAGCAGATGACAAAGCAGAAGACCTTTTATGAGTCAATACACTATAATCCAAACCTTAAAAATAAGAATTTCACTAGCTATGCAGATTCAATTAGCCAAAGAAGTAGTCTACAATTGTATAAAAATGCAACAGATTTCCCAACTCAGGTCAAAAATTTAACGTAGGCAAAAACCATTATATAAGACAAATTCAAAGAAAGATATGCGAGAGATAACATTCTATGCAAAAGGCAGTAGCATACAAGAGATCATTGATGTTCTGCTTGTTCATTCAACATCATATACCACCTCTATTTGATCTGCTAAAATAATTCGATAGTTTTTGTGATGTAATTAAACCATCTAACAAAAAGCACAAACATTATCCGAAAATATCACATGAATTCCCCATCTAATAAAACTATATCACGCAATTTTATTAGAAATTGATAAACAACTTTATAAATTAATGCATACAAATTGTTTATAATTACATCAAATCATGCAAATTCCCTAATTTTTATATCATTGGAACCCAATTTTCCCTTATCAACACTAATATACCCAATTAAATACCTTAGAATTGTGAAAATAGTATCAAATAGAAAAAATTAAAAACACCCAATCAATACTAACCTCTATGTCGATCTTGAAGATAGTAGAAATAATCCGCTAAACTGTTGAATGATCAGCCCCCTTTTGCCTTGTCTTTGAAACAATCAACGAAATTCAACAATAATTTGCAGTTTAAGATGTGAGTTAAGTGAGGAGAGAGAAACGAAATTAGAGTTTAATTTGGGGAATTTTAGAACAGTGGGAAAAGATGAAAAGACAGAGGGAAACCAAAATAATGAACCGCCTAATCCTGAAAATTTTATTAAAAAATTTCCATCACCCATTATTCTTTATATGTTTTTATTTTTTTACAAGGATAGTAAACTGTTGCCACATACCATCTTTGACTCGGTCATTGAAAAGTGTCGCCATATTTTTTGTATAGCAACAGTTTTTAATAGACCGAGACTAATCACATTAATAAAATAAATTTTTTTGCAATATGTCTAGTTATAGCAATGCTAACCAAACTGTTGCAAAAATTGACGTTGTTATAGCCCTATTTTGTTATAGTGATAAATACCCGTGGCATAAATTATTCTTCTTATTTAGGTTTTGTAACATAGTTCATTTTTCCTGTGGCTAGATGAAATTATGCCACGAATTTGGATTTCCCGTGGCATAATTCGTGGCACAAATGATGATTTGTTGTAGTGTTTGCTCATATCAATCTTTACCGCAGCCAAAAAATCCAAACCTGATACTCTCTTGTTTATTTTATCCACAAATCCGTGGCTATGAAGAATGTTGTTTGACATCTGTCATCTTGTAATAAAAGCATGTTGGGACTTGGAGATTAGATTAGGTAAAGTTTTGTTCATTCGATTCACCAAACACTTAGAGACACATTTATAAATTGTGTTGCTAAGACTGATAGGTCGTAGCTGCACCAAATTTTCCGGTGTCACAATCTTTAGAACCATAACCAAGATTGAGTGACTCCAATCTTTAAAAGTAAACCCCATTTGATAGAAGCTTTGAGTTGCAAGGACAACCCGATCTCCAACTTTATCCCAATGTTTATTGAAGAAGAAAGTTGTGAACCCATCCGGACTCAGGCTCTTATCTCTATTTAGGCCCGACATAGCCTTGCGTGCCTCATCGATCGTCAGATCTTTTGCCAGGATTGCCACTTATCTAGTACTTATACCAGGAATATCCAGTTCCCATAAGAGGTCATTTGTATCTTGATCAATACTTAATCGTTGCTCTAGATATAATACATTCTTCATTGAATCCACCACTATTTCTAACCTGCTCTCTCTCCTCAATCAAAATTCTTGAATCATTTTTTAGAGTTATAATCTGATTTTTCTTCTATCACATTTTGACTTTCGAATACAGAAGAAAAGTAGGCAAATCCCCTACCGCTATCCAATTCTCTTTAATTCGTTGCTTCCAGAAGGTCACATTCAATGAAGCACCAGTTATCTACATCCTTGCGGCAAGGAGAAGTGGTTTTCTTTGTTGGGTTTCGTGATGTCCAACATCACACGGAAGGAAACTCGCCCAAAAATCTGCGCACAAATTAAAGTAACTAAGCATGTATTAAAACCACAATCACATGATTAACAAGAAGAGAGAGAAAGAATCATTACCTTTGACGCGTGCTTTGCTCTCACTAGAGCTCGGACTTGAAAGCATAGAGTCCCGTAAATGTGCGAACCTCCGACGGCTAACACCCTCGCTCCCCAAACCGACCTGCCCCTTACCCCGAAGCTTAGTCACACTACTAGAAAAAGGTCAATTTCCAACGTATGTGTTTCGACGGACACAAAAATCCGTTGGAAAAAACGAATTTTCCGATGGATTTAAATTTCGTCGAAAATTTCCAACGAATTTAGATTTTCCGTCGGAAATTTCCGACGGAATTTAAATCCATCGGAAAGTACTTAGTTTTCAACATATTTTCCATTGAAAAATAATTAATTTCCGACGGAAATTCCCAACGGAATTTAAACCCATTCCGACGGATTTTTTTTTTAAAAAAAAAAACCTAATTAACCCGGAACTAACCCCCTCCGCCTTTCATTTCTCATTTCTTTTTCTCTCTTCCGCTTCTTCTACTTCTTTGATTCTCTCTTCTCTCTCCTCTTCTCTGATTCTCTCTTCTCTCTCCTCTTCTCCTTCCTTTTCTCCTCCTTCTCTTCTCTTGTCCTCTTCTCGTTCCTTTTCTCTCTGATCTATTTCTCCTTCTTCTTTCTCTCTGATCTATTTCTCCTTCTTCTTTCTGTCAGATCTCTTTCTTTCGCCTCTTCTCGTTCTTTCAATGTTGGATCGAGCACCGTCAATCACCGTCGTCCACCGTCAAGCACCGTAGAAGGCCAAAAATGTAGGTTAAATATTGGTTATTTTGTAGATCTAGTTTTATTTTTCACAAAATTTATGATTAATTATAATTATTTTTACGGATTTTTCATGAAATACCACTGAGTTTTTCGGAAATTCACCATATACCACACAAAAAATTTTAATTCACCATACAGCACTGAGTTTAACATTATTGTCACAACATGCCATTTCCGTTAACTTAGTTAGTCATTAACGTTAATTGTGCCACATGGCAGCTTGTAATTGGTTGCCTTTTAAATTATTTAACTTTATAATAATTATTTAATTAATTATCAAAAAATAAAAATTAAAAAAAAACCCTTATCCCCTACCTGGCCACCGTAACCCCAACAACCACCTCCACCTGCTGCCGGCCGGCTGCGCTTACCCCTCCCTTCACCTGCCCCAATGCTGCGCCGCTCTCCCCCCAATCCCCCTGTGCCAGTGTTGCGACCCACCTCCACCCCCAAAAATCGACCCAACCACTATTCCAGAACTCCCACCACCCCGAAATCCCTATAAGTCGACTAGGGGTCGATTTTGCGGTGGTCGATTTTTGGGGATTTCGGGGTGGTCGATTTTTGGGGGTTTCAGGGTGATTGGGTGGTCGGTTTTAGGGGGTCAAGTGAGGATTGGTGGCTGTGGGGGTTGCAGATGGGGGTGCGGTGGTCAATTTTTGAGGAGAAAAACATTAATGGTGGACTGGTGGTTGCGGGCTTGCGGCGAAGGAGAGGACGAGGTTGGCTATGGTGGATTGGTGGTTGCGGGCTTGCGGCGAAGGATAAAGAATTTGATGGTAGTGCGGAGGACGAGGTTGTCTATGGTGGAACGGAACTTGGTTGGCTATGGTAGTTGCGGGCTTGCGACGGAGGTGAGACGGTTGCGGGCTTGCGGCTGTGGAAGGGGGATGGGTTTCCGGTGAGACTAGGGAGGAGGGGACGGGGCTGGGGAAGGGGGATGGTTTCCGGTGGCCGAATCTAGGAATGAAGGGGTGGCTGTGGGTTTATTTATTTGTTTTTTGATTTTTAAGTCTTTAATTCTTTATTTAAGTAATTAATTAGATAACATTAATAAGAGCCAATAAGTGAAAGCCACGTGGCACAATTAACCTTAATTACTAACGGCGTTAACGGCAGACTAACGACAGTTAGAAAAAATGGCATTCTGTGTTAATGTATATAAACTCAGTGCTATATGGTGAATTAAAAATTTTTGTGTGGTCTATGGTAAATTTTGGAAAAACTCAGTGGTATTTCACGAAAAATCCGTTATTTTTATGATGAAATTGTAATGTAAGTTTATAATTTTGTAATGTAAGTTTATGGAGGTTTTGGTCAGGGTGGGTGGGTGGGGTGGGGGAAGTTTGGTTTGGTCAGGTGGATAGGTGTGGTGGGGGGTCTGGTCTGGGTGTGGGGGGGGTGTTTGGTCTGGGTGGTGTGGGGTGTCTACAACAAAACAAAGCAAAGATAACAATGAAAAACCATTGCCTAATATTAAAAAAGTGTTGCCTTGTAGCTAAGGCAACACATATGAGGCGTAGTTTATGCCCCCGTTGTCTATTCATAAGGCAACATTTTTTAGTTCAAAGGCAACATTTTTAAAAGCCAAGGTATAATGATACCTAAGGCAACAATTTTACAAGGGAAACAAATTAAAAGTATTGCCACGTTAGGAGACAATTTAAAATTGTAACCTTATGTCATAATATACAACAACCTTTTCACTTGTTGTATTTGTTAGTAATAATACAAAAGTGATGCCAAATATCTTAAAAGCAACACCTTAAAAGCGATTATATGTGAAATTATAAATTGAATGAATAAAGATGAATCAACATGTGAATTCAACAATAGACAATAATCAATCTAATAGGAAACAAGACATCAATATAGAAGAAAATTGATTTTATAAAAAAAATTCAAGTGTACTCATCAAAATCCAAAAATAAAATCCAATAGAATTTCACTACACAATATATCTACTCTTAAAAACCCTAATAAATAACTTATGATTCACGATCTAGTACATTTCTAATACCAGTAATTGTTTAACTTTTTATATCTAATATAGTGCACAAGAGATAGAATGCAACGTTTAAAGAGGGAAATAGGTCAAATGACTATAAACAATCTAAAGTGCTAATTGATCAACTCTTCGTCTTTGTCTTGAATATATATCTTCTTCCATGTACAAGTACGCCCTGTATTACCAATCAATTAATAAAGTTAGAATATAATTTTTCAAAAACTAACACTATTAGAAAATAGCCCAAGTGTTGCGGTTAAAATGGGGGTAGAGGTGGCCAATAACAGGAGTAAAAGACTCTAGTTCATAACCATAGCAAATAAGGCCCATAGAGGCTTTTTTTTTGTTTTTTTTTTTCCAATTTTTTAAAGCAAATTTAACGATGATTTGAATTTCTTAATCAAACTAAATTTGTATCAATATTGAAAATTTTTGTGCGTCACATTTGAATTTGATGATCAAATTAAAAAATTTATCCTAATTACTTATTTACTTGCACTTTTATATATTTATTTAAATATCAGCAGCTCACTGAACTTAAAGGGAATATGGGGCTATACATACAAATAATATCAAAACTTTGCTCATCTTTGTTAAGTAGCTACTCACCAAAAAAATAAGTTAAGAATCTCTAATCACATAACTCAGGTCTCACCTCTATGAATTGAGTTGCTTTCCTTAATCTTTATTAGAGACTAAGAGTCTTTAGAAGCTAACAGTGACAACATACCCCACACAATCACAACCTTTATCCTTCTTTCTTTATCCTCAGCTCCAACCTACTTCAAATTAGTTACCCTTTTAGCATAAACTCATAATCAAATTCAGCAAAAAACCAAATGCACAACATGCAACGAATTCACTTCAATTATAATTTAGTTTCAAATTTTATTCAATTCAACTAAGCATTTTCCAGTATTATAAATCCATAGTCTGATGATCAGTGCATCAAACAAGCAATATTAGATATATTAGAAGTTCATAAGCTATCAACAAAGAGGTTAATAAGAAAAATCTA